TCAGCCCAACATAATCATGACTTATAAATACATAGTAAAAATTATAAAAATACAGTGCTATGGTATTGAAAGATGTTTTATATTTTATTACTTGTTCGATATCTAAAAGGAAGTGTTGGAAACTCGTCTTTAGTGCGGCACTATTTGTTCTGTATACGGGTTGTTTCTGTTTCACAACGTGTAACAACCTGATTGAAGAATGTTCGTCTAATTGCATCAAACGAAATTACTGTAAGCGTCGTAGGCTCACTAGTAATCAACGAGCGTATTGTTTCATAATTAATATAATTACTATTTGTAAAATTCAAGGTTACACCTTTTACTTTACATGTAGCTGTCGAACCGTCCGGCTTTTGTACGACGTAAGCTTAAAATTTCGGGCTACCAGAAATAAAAGATTTTATCTAACTGTCTGTACCATAGCTCTCTAGCTCATCAGTTAAATCACCCAGATAGTTGCCTGTTTCGAGATCTGTACTATTTCTATTAGAAATACAAATAAATGAGTCAATATCGAAATACAAAGCGCAAGTGCTTAATTTTTCTAGATAAGACTAACTTCAAACAGGCTTGGGCTGTTGTGTCAGCTGCTATGACACTATTTGTAGTAGGGTGTGCCTCGAGAGCTTCTTCTTTCTGTACGTATGACACATACGAAATATCATTATTAACGCAGTATAAACGTGTGATATCGATCATAGGATTTGTGAGTAATTCCATATGCTTAACACGATTATTTACTATTTCAGTTTGGGTAAGATTTTCACGTTGCCCAAATTTACCCCATAATGGATTTAGAAATAATTTTGCAACTGATCGCAAACCGGGATTATGTATTATTTTTTCCCTTTCTAATTTAATGCCTTCAGCTTTTTCATAATTTTCTAGATATAATTTTTGTTCAATAGGATTGTTTTCACATTGTTTTGGCCAGCTACTTACTTCTTGTTTGATTTTTGTGTCAATATCAGCAGTAAAAAGACCTCAAACGTCTGTATCACGGTTATATTGAATCATTTCATATTTCCATATTTCTAATATATTTAAAACTCTATAGCCTTTCTCTATAGCTTTGCCCATTTCTTTAACGACCCATGTACCATGTAATAAATGCTCGGCTACATCATTATGATGACAATTACCCTGATTAATTATTTCAGCACATGTTCTGCATAATACAAATAAGAATTTACCGTAAAATCTTGCCAGTAAAACACGATATAAAAGGACTCGGGATAGTAAGATAGTACATTTTACAAGCCCTTCAATCTGATCAAAATTATTCCTATTTTTGAGAATGTCATTATGTTGAGAATTAATTAATTCTCAGTTTGAATTTGCCAGCTGAAAGGAACTTCGGCGGCCATCTTGGGACTGGGTCGATAGCCAATCGACCAAACAATCAATAATTCTTAATTTAGTCAATCATTTGACTAATTTTCAGTGTCCCTTTTGACTAATAAAGTTCCTGTCGCCATTCTTCCGCTGTTCTCGTTCACGTGTACACGCCATTCTTATTCATTCTTAACAAATCTTACAAGTTTGAGTCAATCATCAGTACTAGTAATTGTAAATTATCAGAGCCATTCGAGCTTCATTCTAAAACTAGAATCAAGTAATATTTCAAGACTTTTCATTGTAATTCAAGACATTTCATCAAGATTCATTTTGCATTGCATTGATAGGCTAACGCCACGTGCACAATCACATTCTTGCTCAACTTGAGAAGCGTGCTGAGCTCGTGTGGGAGGTCAATAATACCGAACACACCAAGTTGAGTAGTTTTTTGAACATTCAATTCAGATTCAATAATTAAAAATAGACATTCAGTGATTTTGAGCGACATTCAGTCTTCCTAGTTAACAACACAAGTTTGTCAGTATACTTAGTGTACCTGTTAGTGCTTAAAATAAAAATACTTTATTTTTTATAAAACCTGACTTCCGTTTGCTCTGTTCCGGCACCATCATCCCTATCCTTAAACGGTTAGGTTAATTCACAAGTTGAGATTTTCTCAGCACATTGCATTCAGTGCCGACGTAAATTGTAGGGTGTTCAACGGGAAATTTATCTGTTTTGCACACGTCGAATACATCTAATACATCTAAAAATTCTCTCTGTATAGGCTAATGGTACTATCTGACATAAGAAAATTTACTAAACGTTCAAGAAGAGTCCGATTTAAGTAAAGTGTATTTTTAGTTATAGATGAACTATAAGTTTGTTTCTAAACAAGCTTTAGTAATAAGCTTAGAACAACGTTGAGTATTACCATGTTTTTATATTCCTAACGTTCATCGTATTGTATTCTCCGTCGTCAACCGTAAAAAACATTTGCGTTTAGTTTAGTTATCACTAGCAATAAATGTATTGGAATATTAAAAGTTATATTGCAGTCAAAACCCTCTTGTTCAAAATCTTTATAGACAATTCGTAGAGAGTATTTAGACATGCGATAGGCCTATAGTTTTTGGGGTTAGACAGATCATCACTTTTGGGGATCAGCACAGTACGCCCTTCAACGAGCCATTCAGGAATGGGTGTATCTCCTCCTAGATATTCTGAGAAGATACAAGCCAGATGCTGGTGGGATGACGTCAGTTTCTTCCACCAGAAGGTGGGGATTGCATTTGGCCCAGGGGCAGCCCAGTTCTTTGTGCCCCTTAGAGCATTCCTGATCTCTTCAATGTTGACTCGTTGAAACTCTTCAGGAATTCGTGATAGATGTTCGTCATAGAATTCTCTGAAAAGTTGAAGGGCTGGAGTGTCTACATCTAGCACACTAGCGCGACTATATATTTCGGTCCAGTAGGTTTCGACTTTTTCTGCACTCGGAGGCTCATAAGTGACAGGGGCTTGCGGCTTAAGAAAGCTTAAAGGGTCAGATTGAAACAATCTGTTGTCCCTTCGCCGCTTGTACCGCTTTGCTAATGACTTCTTAATGGCCATTAGCGATCTTATTTTGCCTGTGTTCCTCTCCTTTAGGATCAGTAACACGGCCGTATTCACAGTGTGATGTTCACGTCTGATACTCGCCACGATACGCCGAATTCTTGGCGTATAAGGCCTGTGAATATTTAAGTGATCCATCACACTCTGAATACGAGATGCACCCTGTCGAGCCTTCTTGATCTTAATTGCAATCTGTTCGATGCGTCTTTTCAGGCTTAACTTAGGATTGACAGGTGTTCGTCTGACCTGAGTAAACCCTCGAGCCACATCATAGACTGCATTGTTGAGTGCAAAAAGAGAGAGAAAATTACCTTCTCTGCTGGTCAAGTCCTGTTGATTGGTGCCCTCAGGGGGAGGAGATGGGGGTTCTGCAGTGAGAGAAGGGTGGAACAGGAGTATGCTCCACCTCGGTGCGGCTGTCTCGGGTGTGTACTAATAAAGTAAATTTGAATTTGCTCCAGAAGTTTTTTGTTGAAATATGAAAATATGACTTCTGCCTGATTTAGTCAAGTTAAAAATTAAAAACGACTCAAACATTTATCAAGTTGTTCCCTTGCAAGTATTTTAAAGCAGAAATAGAATGATTTTTACTAACATATCAACTATTCTTAGAAGAAACAACCAGACCGTTCGTCATTAGATCCTATAAAAATTTGTAAGTAAGTGATTTTGCTTTTCAGTAGATACAATACTCAGAACAAAAGAATGGGTATTTACTATTAGATGTTGAAAGAGTTCAACCTATTCAATAATGCTGAATTCTTTTGCGACATTTAGAAATAAAGATAAATGTTCTGAGTCGGATTATCTTATTGAATCGATTAATTCCTTGTTTAAATCCCTACTCTCATAACCTATAGAACTCTTTTTTTTCTATTCAATCGCTATCTTTTTTTTAGAATCAGAACAATTCCATTTAGTTGTGTCTGTAGGAAAGTCCAATGACTTTCATTTTTATAGAATCAAATAGCATCTTTTACTCATTAATTCTGATGGGATCTTATTTGAAATGGTCTAGTAGTTTCTTATAAATCAAATCAGAAATCAAGAAATATTATTTGCTCATTGTTTCTTGTGAAGTCTTATAGTATTCGTTCTTGCAAAATCTTATAGCACTTTATAAAAGGAAAAGTCGTCACTTTACCAATCGATTCTTATTGCATCTTGTGATATCCTTTTGATACATTCTCATGGAAGTTATTCAGAAATGAAAATATATTATTTACCTATAATTTCTTATGAAAACTTATCATACTGTTCTTAATTATTCTCACATATATTTATAAAATTAACCAAAATTTTTTTTATCCTCATAAACTCTGATTAATTTTTATTGAATGGTGGTAAGACTATTTTTGGTCTTTTTATATACCCGGTGAGTTCTTATTCATTCTTATGAATTGTGTATCAGAATCTATCGGAAATTATGAATTTTAATCGGTTTTTTTTACCAAGGCACAAATACTAACTTCATTTTAACAGTTTCACACCTTCTGGAGTTTTCTGGTACATTCAAGATTGATTGTAGTAGTTATACACATCATGGATTTTTCTGGAATATTTTAGAAATTTTCAGAATTTTTGAAAGTTCTCATAAGTTAGAAAAAGATGAAGATAACAACGTACTTTACCATCACTCGACTCTGGGACAAAGTTAGACTGGACAGACGAGTCATTTAGCGGTTCACCGCATACTGTTCATATTTCTTGTATATTTTGGTATATTTATATTCTTGAATTTAGCCTAAAAATGACACAATAAATTAACAGATCTACTTTTTAACTACTCATTTTCCTAGAAAAATATGATTGCGTATGAGTAGCAAATTGCAACACGTTCTAAATAAATTCTCAATATAATCGTAGGATAACGAACAAAGATTTCTATTACTCTTTGAAATTGTCGATAATAACTATTTTATTATCGTTGCTGTTGTAATTTTGTCGAATAAAAACCCATGATTCATTCGTTAATCATGTCGTATATATTACAAAATTAGTTTTTTTGTTATTATCAAGCAAATAATGATGTGACGCTTATTTTTCAGAAATGCACGAACCTCCTTACTACATCAATTACTCTAAGTCGAGATTGACAATACACGGCATTGTGACATCAAAATACTTTGATTTAGCCATTGCAGCTGTGATCGGACTGAATGTTGTGACAATGGCAATGGAATTTTACATGATGCCAAAAGCTCTATCTTACGCACTGAAGATATTCAACTATTTTTTTACTGCAGTATTTATTGTAGAATCATCAATGAAGTTATTAGCTCTTGGATTACAACTTTATCTTAAAGACAGATGGAACCAACTCGATATTGGCATTGTGATACTATCTGTTGTTGGAATTATTCTGGAAGAACTTGAGTCAAATATCATACCTATCAATCCAACCATAATTCGCGTAATGCGAGTTCTAAGAATAGCCCGAGGTGATAAGTAACAATATTTACATATTATACTAATTTCCCAAATAATTTGTTTATGTTATGTCTTTTCACAGTTCTTAAACTTCTAAAAATGGCAAAAGGAATCCGGGCGTTGTTAGACACTGTTATGCAGGCATTACCTCAAGTTGGGAATCTAGGACTATTATTTTTTTTATTGTTCTTCATATTCGCAGCATTAGGAGTTGAATTGTTTGGAAGACTTGGTAAATTTTCAAATAATTATGATTCTAATTTGCTTCATTTTAAATGAGAATTTCTGTATGTTCATAGAGTGCAACGATGAAATACCATGTCAAGGACTCGGTGAACATGCCCATTTCGGTAATTTTGGAATGGCATTTTTAACTTTATTTAGAGTTGCTACAGGAGACAACTGGAATGGTATTATGAAAGACACGTTGCGCGATAATTGCGATAATTCATCAAACTGTTCAAAAAATTGTTGTGTCAGTTCAATTGTAGCACCCATTTTTTTTGTCATTTTTGTACTTATGGCACAATTCGTTCTCGTCAATGTAGTAGTTGCAGTTTTGATGAAACATCTGGAAGAAAGCCATAAACAAATAGAAGATGAACTCAATATAGATATGCAATTAGAACGAGAACTAGTTACAGAACACGAGTTGCTTGAGTTTTCTAATAGAAAATTCAGTGAGATTAATTCTATTTTGAAAGAACGTGAATGTCTCGGATTACAGCTCTTAAGAAATAATGCCAGATACTACTCTTCTCATGTCATAAAAAATCATGAATGTATTGACGATAAATGGATCCCGATGTTCCATGAAAATTTTTATGACAATTCTCTGAGTTATTTGCAACCAAATATTTTCAAAGTACGCTCGTTACCTTCAAATTTTACTTACAATTCTCGTCACGACAAACGAAAATTTAGAAGCGGTAAGTCAATATCTGTACCAATCAAATATCTGTTAAAACATGTGAATGTTATGTGATTTCAGAGCTGTGCAACTTTGTTTTACGATCACTCAGAAAAACGAAAAATTCGTCAATTCATCATTACAGTAAGACTTCGAAAGACTACTTAGAAAAACAACATACTCGTCCATCATTTCTAAGGGATGTTCTGATGCCCCAAACTTCTCGAAGAAAAAAAAGAGAAATTTGGTTGAAAAAAGCATTGGTTAATTTATGTTTGTCTTCGGTTAAGGGACACGGTAATAAAAAATGTAGCAGAGAAAAAACAAAAACCAATGATTTATTGAAAGGCCTATGTTCTTTAAGAGATAAAAATCTTACAACAGCTGAACGCAACCAGTCTGTATCTAATAATGTATTGATTGGAACTCAATGTTTGAGGGAAAAGGAATTTAAAATAGCGAAAAAAATCTTTGTAAGTAATCCTTCAGAGGATAGTTTTAATAAAGCTTGTGATATAATCCATCGTTTCAAGTCAACCCTGAACGAAAAATGTTTACAAAAAGAAGTTCGAACAGAGAATCCCGGTACTCTCGCGGTAGTTATCACACCAACGCCGCAAAAACTTAAAAAACACAGTCGACTGTTCCATACTATAAATCAGAAAGAATTAATGGAAGTACGAGTTCGGGACCGGTGTAACGTCGTTCATACGACTGAAGATAAAAACAATGTGATTGCTATCAATTTAATGAGGCAAACTGATCTAGGTATTGGCCAAAGTTCTTCATGTAATAAACATATTTACGATGAAGTTAACATTTATGTAGATGATGAAGAAAGTAGCTCTATTGGAGATTTAAACGGCTGCATGATCAAGAATATTACAATTGATAGAAGATCAAACACAGAAAATTCGCTCTAATAATTGTGATTAGACGTAGATGACATTATGTTTAACAATTATGTAACAATTCACGTATGAATCGGACTGACTTATTTTTCTATGATACATTCATTTATTGAAACACAGATTCATTTTTTATTGTGCACTGTATGAAACAACATTAGTTTTGAATCTATATCAACATATTGCTTAATAATTATTACAATGAACAAAGAGCATCAATAATTGTTTTTTTGTTATTTTTCGTATTTTAAATCTCTATACCCGAGATATAGAATAAACCAATAATAAGGAAACAATGAAAAAATAATTATGATTAGTTGTTAAGATTACCTGATGTTTCTATAATCACAGCCTTGACCGATGTAACCCCTTCCTAATATAGTTATATCTAAATATTAAATTGCATCGATTTTCTGCATTATAAGTATATTCAAAGTCATCACAGTGCTGATCAAAACAAAGTATGTTTTTAAATAAAGAAAATTGTTTAGTTAATACGCAGCTTAGTATGTCACTTTCGAACGGAATTTGGAAAAATCAATCACATCTTCGAAAAAACTCCGTAATCTTCTTAAATCGATGGAAACGATAATTTAAATTACATTTAAGTTGGCATAACATGAACAGAGATGATTTGAAGTAAATAATTATCAACCAAATTTTTCTAACATAAGCATATAATTATACACCTAGCAAAAGTTTTAAGAATCAGGTATTCATTGAAAGTATGAATTAACCTAAATTATGTCTTATGAGTGTTTTATGTGATTGCTGTTTTATGTTTTGTACGAACCTGACTTTTCTCGACTAAAATATGTGACTTAAATTTAGAGTTCAATTCACTAATTTTAGAACACGTAACGATCTCAATAGATTATCGCGCTATTCTATGAAAGGCTTATTGTATTGGTGTACCTAGCTCTGGTTGATTGCTTGAGCCCATGGGCAGCTCTAATTAGTTTAAAAACTTTACTGTTACAATTTTTTAGAATTATCTAGATTAAGATACACCCTCCAGATTTTTTTGAAGTTTTAGTATAGTGCAAAATATATGAATGTCTCCATTTATGAATTAATTGACTTACGGCAGTTTGTTAGTTAACGATGATTGCTTCACGATTGCTTAAACGAGGAGAGTTTGCTTATCTCCAGTTTAGGATTGAGACCAGCTGACTTTAGACGTCATATCATTGATTCCGTATTTGGAACCTTCATTTCAATGAACTATCTTTTAATATTAGTTGTCTTTATCCTTATATTTTACATTTGGTGTCAGAAGTGATTCGTCTCACGTGACAAAGTATATTGTTTTGCGTATTGTGATCTTTGAAGAAGTTAAAAAATGCCAAGAACACCGAATTGTCGTCAAACAAGGAGGAAAATAAGAAGAACTCGTTTCAAAAATTGCATTAAAGAAAATAATTCTTCAAATGATGAATTGTTGGCCCTAAAGATACGGATAAACAGATTAGAGGAACAATTACATTAGAACAAATAAGTAATAAATGGCTGACTTCAAAATTTCGTGAAAGAGATAAGATTTTTATTTATGAATGATAATTTTGACTCTAACAATAATCATCAAAATTTGAATAATAATAGTGATAACTTGGGCCCCCGGAGTTGCATAGATGTTTCTGTCCTTAAGATATGTCGCGTAACAACGGGGACAGATTGAAGATTATTGTTGTAAGACCTCGGGCTCGTCACGTGTATGCCCGTGCCTATTCTAGGTGCAGGTATATGGGTCCTGGGAAATGCCATCGCGAAGAGAGTAGAGTTATAATTACCCAGAGTTATGCCCAAAGAGGCGAGGTACTCAATTTCCGTCCTTCAGACAGGGGAAGCATGGTGAATAATAGTAATAACTATTATTATTTAATTTAAAGGGGCAGATTGAAACAGTCTGTTGTTCCTCCGCCACTTGTACGGCTTTGCTAATGACTTTTATGCTTCACCTTGGTGCGGCTGTCTCGGGTGTCAGTGAGACTTCGTCCTCAGTCTCTGGAGCGTCCGATATTAGAGAGTCAGAGTCTGACTCCTCTCCTATCCGCTGTCGAGACTGAGTGTACTGCACCTGTGATGCAAGCGTCGCTTACGTTAGTTGTTGCAGTTCTAAGTGCATTTTGCACCAAAGAGTATGCAGGTGCCTGGCATAGACGGAAGTTTGTGGCTCGCATCTTTTCTAACACTCCATCAAATCCCGCTTTATCGCCTCTGTCCACCTAAGATGCTTAAAGTGTAGTCCGTGGTCAGGGTCAATATTGGAAGGAATTGTTAGGCTGCTCCCAACTGTCCCATGGCCCTTATCCTAAGAGTGCCGGTCGTTTCAGGTAAATTTCTGGGAATCTGTTAAAATCTCTTGCAGGAATGGTTAGCCCACTACGAAGGTGGTGATATTTAACCAAACCGCGATGGATGGTTTCGTTCATGTTACCATATGGATAGCATTTTGAATCGAAGACAAGTTTTCCATCCCTTAAATCACAATGATCGAAACGACTTGCATCTTTTGTAGCATCATTCTTCCGTGATCTGTAAATGTGATCGTCTCTTCAGGATCCGCTGTAGCTTGTACAATTGCATTAAGATCGGTATTTGAACAAGTAAGTATTAATTTATGTTTAGCATAGACAATTATGCGATGATAATCTTCAGCAAATCCCAATAGCATATTTAACGGTATCGACACATCAAAGTATCTATTATTATTAAATAATCTTTCATTGTCAGTTACACAACCTGCATTATCTAAATAATTTTTTTGACCTGGATGAACAAATAGATATTCCTTCATGAGACTTGTAAGACCAACATTTTTATTTCGATCAATCTCAACACCATCCAATTCATATTGTATTTTTTCAGATGAATAGCATACGGCCATATTAACGAATCGTGATATTGCTACTACAGCATATCCGTTAGATTTTGTAAATTTTCCCGTAATATGAACGGAACTTTTGCTTGGCAATAGACATGAATCTTAATGTTCAACTGAGATATGTATTTTATTATTATTATATGTTGTAGATGCATATGGTTAATAAGTATGCACCTCAATAGACTCATCAAATATGACACCTATGCTTATTGCTAATTTTTCTTCTTCCATAGTGAAACACATGCAAGACAGCACACTTTCACTTTAATTTTGTTGCACTTTTGGGTACTTTCAATCCCAGACGTTGTAGGAATAATTGATTTTAATAAGTTAATCGTTTGAGTTTTTTTCGATGACTGGTGAGATTCAGGCATGATATGTTAGTTTTATAGCTTCCCCCTACTATTAGTTTATAAACAATCCTCATCACGTTATTTATTTTAAATGTAAACGGACTGTTACAGCTCCACCACGGAAATTTACCAGTTGACCGTCTTGATCAACAATGCGCAGTTGTAAATTATGTAATGCTTGTACACTCGGCGTCAATAATGCCTGGTCCATCAAATACTTTTATACCATCCGAGCAATTATCGATGGAGTAGTTTTTCTTTTTAAACAGAGATTCTACATCTAAATTAATTTAGAAAGTTCATGATTAAATACCCTTTTAGATCGTCCCTATAATAATAGAATATCCGGGCTAAAAAATTTTTAAACCTTAATTTAAATAATAATAATACATTTAAATAATAATTATAATTTGAACTTACTTCTTCAGTCATCATGAAATAATCGTGCACATTTATAGTCATGACTATTGATGTAAGTTTAATTATAGTGATTATAAACTCAAGTTTGTGATTAAATTATAATTATCATTATTCAAATTTTCTTGTTATTATTTAAATTTAAATGAACTTTCTGAATTAATTTAGATGTGGAATCTCTGTTTAAAAAAAAAAGTACTCCATCGATAATTGCTCGGATGGTATAAAAGTTTTTGATGGACCAGGCATTTATGACGCCGAGTGTACGGTGATTGGAAGATAAATGACGTTTGATGGAACTTCAAATTTTCTTATTATGTCGTTTAGCTTCTTCTAATTGACGTTTGGCATATCTAGCGTCATTGATCGCTTTTGCAATGCTAGCAGCGCCACCTGCTACAACACTGACTGCACTTACACCTGCAAAAAGAGGTATAAGAGGTAAAACACCTCCCACTTTTGGCGGCATTGGTATAATACGAGGAACTTTAATTTTTTTCTGAACTAGGATTTAACATTAGCTTTGCTGAATTACGATCATAATAATTTAATTTATATTGATGATAAAAAATACAATACTACTTCTGGTTTATTAAAAAAATTATTTAAAAATCCACCTGATCACTCAAAAATAACAAAAGAAGTTGAAAACATGTATGGCAGAATTATCAGGATGACAAATGCCTATCGGATGCATTATCTTCCTGATAAAAGTATTAGAGTCGATTGAGAATTTAAAAAAATATACCGACATAATCAGTAAATATATACCAAAAAGTGGGAAAAGTTTACCAGGGTATATGATTAAACATAAACACAATCATTTTATCGATCATATTTATTGGGATGATCCCAATGAACTTGTACATCGACTTTGTTTACTTATTGCATCTCAAACTGCTGGAAATTTCAATTATACTAACGAAATTTTATCAATTTTAGAGGAATTATGTGAAGCTGAAATCATTTATTAATATCATGTATTCTACACAGCTACTCATTCATTGAAGAACTTTTGAAGTGAGAGGTTTAAATATGCGTATTCACTTTTTCGGACGACGTGCAGTGTAGTAATGTAACGGAATAAGCTCATTAGTGGAGATACAACTTTGTCCAAAATTTTGAAAAATGTCAGCTAACAGAAGAACGTCTGTTTTTAAATATAAATCTGAATATTCACCGAGAGTGATTAGTTGGAATTGATCCCAAACGTGGTGTGCATGTTGGTAATCGTCATCGGAAATAGCCAAATCGTTGAGTTTTAAATAGAATTCGGATTAGTCAAGTCTTTCCCAACTGTCAATATATTCATATGGGAAAACACCTTTACGAGTTACGAATTCAAATTTATCTGGCTCGGGATAGAAACTTTGAGTAATTGATTTTGCTTTATTATCCAAAAATGATGCAAGTTCCTTAATACTATAGCTCATGAATCTGAAAGAATCAATGAATCGTAATTTAACAACTATTTCTTTTTTTTTCGTGGGAAATTTTTTGATCAACTGTTTTTGTAAATGCTATGTATTTTTCTTTTTTGACAGGTAATAATTCCACATATTTTTTCAATTGAGCAGCTAATGATTTAATAAAAAAATGTGAGTCATATTCTGAGAAGTTATGAAAAATGACTGGAATCATGCATGAATTTTGATAATTAAAATTACAATAACCATGAGCAGCACATCGATAATTGCCTCTAGAGTGACAGTAATCATGCACTTCCGTTTTATCTTGTAAAAAT